TGCTTTGCTTTGCTTGACTGGTCTTGTGACCTCTTGTTCTCCCCCACTTTGCCTATGGGGGTGTGTCAAACTCATATTGTATAGCTTGTGTAGGCTATAGTGGGGTAGACACTATGGGGTACAGTTTCCTAGGGTTTCCTACTTGTACCCAACTTTGTGCTAGTTCTTTTTCATTCCTCAATTCTCACACTAAGTGTCAGCTGCAATTTTCGTACGGTTGCGGTATTTACTAAACTGTGGCTTGCTCCTTCGTCGATAAAAATCTTCACTGCTGCTCCGTGTATTTTCCCATGGATCAGTACTGGGCAATCCGTCGCTGTACCCTCCTTATTCGACCGAGTCCGATCGATAGCATGAATCGAGACTGTGAGTCGGTGAGGGTCGGTGAGGCTGGGCGAGCAGGCGGTCTCGTCAGTAGTTGGCCCGATTCCTACTGACTGCTGGCGTTTCTCTGCCTTGGAAACTCCCTCCCCTGCTCTGCTCTGCAGCGCCTTAGCTCCTCTGGGAATTCGCTCTTGCGATGGCCCAACCTAATGCAAGCAAAGCAGCGCCCCTTAAACGGCGCGGCAGCTGCATTTGTCGCAATAGCGTGTACACTGGCGTGCTCGATCGGTCCCCGAGGACGATGTCCATAGTAGGACCCCGGTCTCGGACGGCGTAAAATGTCGATTTTCTCGGCGAGCGCGAGAATCTCGTTGAAGTTCGAGAGCCCGCGTAGCATGATTTCGTGCGAGATTTCCGGCTTCAGCCCTCTGACGTAACGGTCCACCCGCTCTGCTTTGTGCATGTAGCCGACTTGCTCGCATAATGCGAGAAAACCACTCGTACAGTCTTGAACCGATCCGAGCTGCCGCCAAGTGCGCAATCTCTGACGCGCCGAAATAGAAGCCGCGATCGGCTCGAAGCTCACCCGAAGCCCTGCGCACCACGCATCCCACGTGCTGTATTGGGCGGTCTCGCAGAATGAACTCCAGGTGATAGCTGGGCCCTTGGGCCCTTCCTCTTGCGATGGTGGCTCGTAGGCGCGTGGCGACGTCACGATGACTCGCCACCTGTCCATGGCGGGGCCCCTTAGCACCGAAACGGCATACCGAATCTTCGCTGCGTCCGACTCGACGTAATTCGCGTCGAAGAAGACGTTCATCGTGAAGACCCACGATTGAACCGTCGGACATCCGCACTGGCTCGGGTCGCAGCAGGGCGTGCGTTGCGGCTTGAGTGGCATTGGTGCCATAATGGCTTGTTCGCCACTTGTCGCCACGAACTCCACGTGCCGACGGGCTTCGCGAGGCTCCCGCGGGCTTGGTGCGACCCTGTTTCCTCCCATGCCAGGCATCGGCTGGGCGGTGCCATCGCTGGCTGCGCCTAAGCACTGTCCCACGCTGTTGTTTTGTGTTGGTGTGCCGGACGAGATGACGATCGGCTCGTCTGATTGTGCAGATGCATTTGTCGGTGCGTGTGGTGGCGCTGGAGTGTTCATCGTTGATTGCTGACGCGCGGAGTCACGTTCCGCCGTGAGCGTCGCAATTTCGAGCGCCGAATCTTCAAGTTGGCGCACCAGACGGTCGAGTTGCTGCTGCGTCAATGTGGCGAGTGTGAATTCGGCCATGGCGGGGGCGTCGGGCGAGCTCAGCGAGAGCCTCAGTCGTGGCCGTGTGTGCTTACGAGAGAGCACTACGAGCGGCGGTGCTGTGTTGATGAGAGACGTGAGGCCCCCCCAAAAATTGAGATAGTGGTGTCAAAGTTTGAAGAAAGAAAGAGGATTGAACTAGCAAGAATGAGGATACAAATAGCAAACCCTAGAAGGGTTGTACTCGCTATAAAGCACCCCACTACAGGCTAGAACAATAAGATAATATTCTGACACACCCCCATAGCCAAAGTGGGGTGTAATCAGCAGAGCAGGCAAAGCAAAACAAGCTCAGGGTGGATCACAATGTCACCACACATTCTGAGCACAAGTTCAAGAAGAAATAGTTTAGAGTTTACAATTATAAGCAAAGCTAGTGGTAGTCACAACGGGCAAGTGAGGAGGAGGAGGGAGAGTGAGGGGAGAGGAGACAGGAGGCGACGGCTGAAGCTGCAGACACACGGGCAACAGGAGGCAGACTGGCACAGCGGCTACCGGACAGCGCCCGGACTACAGGGGTAACAGGCCCCGCGGCTCAAATAGCGGCGGACGGGCAACGGACCCACGGGCGGCTGGCACAGCTGGCTACGACTGGGCTACCGGGACAGCGCCCCGGACTACAGGTGCTGCTGACGACAAACTGGCAACCTCCGCTCATCCTCCCGCACACAGTCCCACCCCCCTGATACACACCCACTGCTACACCACTAGCTCTACTCCCACGCACCCCCCTAAAACCCTAAACCCCAGTCTCCCACACAACCACCCCCCTCAGCGACAGCTGCAGCAGTGGGAGACGAAGGAGGAGGAGGAGAAAGGGAGGAAGGCACACCGGCCACCCCCATACCCGCCACCCCACAGCTCGCGGCCCCCTCAGGAGCCGCGACGGGCGACGGGAAATGGGGGAAGGGGAGAAGGGGGGGGGGGCCCACCACGGACCTGAGGGGAGGGCGGGGCCGCGACAAGGGGCGGGGCCGCGACGAGCGGGGCGGGGCCGCGACGGTCGGGGTGGGACCGCGACGTAGGGTGGGGCCGCGACAGGTCGGGGCCGCGAAGGTAGGGCGGGGCCGCATAGGGTCCGGGGCGGGGCCGCGACGTAGGGCGGGGCCGCTTCGAGGGGCGGGGCCGCGACGCAGGGGCGGGGCCGCGACGAGGGGCGGGGCCGCGACGGTCGGGGCGGGGCCGCGACGGAGGGGCGGGACCGCGACAGGTAGGGCGGGGCCAAGCCGGGCAGGCGCACGGGCGGCGACGGGCCGGGGCGGGGCCGCGACGAAGGGCGGGGCCGAGCCGGGCAGGCGCACGGGCGGCGACGGGCCGGGGCGGGGCCGCGACGTAGAGGAGAAGCCCGCCGCGCGCCCCGGGGCGCACAGCGGGCAATGAACCGCCGCGCGCCTCGGGGCGCACGGCGGGCAGAAAACCGCCGCGCGCCTCGGGGCGCACGGCGGGATGAAAAAAATAGCAGCGGAAGCAAGGTGGGGACACACCCACAGGATCGATCCAAGGGGATCGACCTGCTCTGATAGCATGTCAAAGTTTGAAGAAAGAAAGAGGATTGAACTAGCAAGAATGAGGATACAAATAGCAAACCCTAGAAGGGTTGTACTCGCTATAGAGCACCCCACTACAGGCTAGAACAATAAGATAATATTCTGACAAGTGGGGAAGCGAAGGTGTGGGTGCGGTCCGAGAAAAGATCGTAGGCTCTGAATACCAAGTGTTACGAGTGCAATTCAGTGAACGAACGAGAATTGTACTATCGAAGCAAGAGTCCAATGAGCGAAGGCATGAGCGAAGAATATATAGCGAAACTACAGTGGTAACAGTAATGGACTGTGGTTGTCGCGCAATGGGCCTGGGACTGAGGTTGGGAAAAGTGTCGAAGCGGAGGCCCAGAGCGCGGGTTACCCACCGAGCCGTGAGGTCGGGGTGCGACGTGCGAAGGTGGCGGGCGGATTGTTGATGCGAGGGTTGCGAGTGGTAACGGTGCTGATTGTGGTGCTACAGTGATGTACGCGTTGAGCGGAGATGCCAAGTAAGGAAAAGGAATTTTCCTTACACTCACCATCCGATGTAACTTTCTGCCCATCGATTCGAGGATTTACAGCTGTCGATTCAGAATCTTTAAAACTCGAGAAGATTCCGCCCCTGACCAAAACAAAAATCTCCGTCGTGAGTTCATGGGAGTTTCTTTGTGATGCCTGTGTTCCTAGAACTCTCCGCAAAACTGTTTAGGGCGTGTCCAGCGCGTACAGTTTGGGAATATTAGTACCTTCACACGTTCCCGGCTCAAAATATCTCGCTGTACCAAAAAACGAATATAAGGCGAGTCAAGTCCGAAGGAGTGGGCCTTCCTGCGCGCGGACACAACCCTCTGCACACAAATTTCTACAATTCGTGGAAATCGAGGTAACTGTTTGCCTCGTCTATCATCGCACAGAAATTCACGCACAAGCGAAAATTCATCGCTTGAACGAAAATTACTGAAGCGGGCAGGACGCAATGCTGTATCATTGTTCGCGCGTAAACTGATTCCAGTAACGTGTGTTAGACGATTCGTCGTACGTGCAGCGGGCGTGCCGTCTTGTGTACGGAAGCTGATCTTGTCCAACCTTTTTGTAAAATGCAGTGTTACAAAAGAATATGTGGTAACCGAACAGGTTTATGAACTGTAAATGTACGCTGGACACGCCCTCAGCTTGCGCTTGAGAATCGCGAGAGTCTGTGCTCACCCTGTAATACCTCCACTACCACGACGAACTCAAGGGTTCTGCCCACCTCCGCGCACAGTGTGACTTGCGTGCAATCCACAATCATGCTTAGTGATTGGGTTTCACCTCCAAGAACAACAGCTGTCGGGGGGGGTGTACATCCGCGTGGTGTTCCGACAAGGCGGCTTGCCACAGACAAACTTTGTTTGTTTTTTTTTTTTTTTTTAGGCCAACCTGGGTTCCCGTTTCTGGAACCTCGGGATATCCCCGGGAACCTCGGCCCAAGGTTCCTGGGGAGACACCTAAGGCCGCGTTCTCTGCTAGCGTCAGGCAGGCGGACATGAGGCGTGAAGGGTTTGGATTTGATTGATGATGACGTGGAACAATCGGAGCTGTCGATAGCCTTGTGTCAGGATGATTGACACCGGTCGAAAACCCGCCCTAAGATTGATTATGACAAGATCCTGGAGCACACCGCAACCGTTTCTCCGCCTGACGCCTTCAAAGTCCACTCAGTGGACTGCTGTTGCTTCATTCTCTTCAATCTATCGAGCTATCAGCCGTCCCGTTATCACCGCACTCCGAGAGTCACAATGTCGTCATGCTGCGGGCCTAAGGCTGTCCCTGCCCCGACTGAGGCGAAGAGCGGTTGCTGCAGACCCATGGAATCTAATAGCACCTGCGCCGCTTCCACCGCCGCTGCGATCGGCGGCGGCGGGAGCGACGTGACGCATGCTGACATCAGCGAGTATTACGGGAAGACGGTGCAGAAGCAGTCGGATCTGCAGACGTCAGCATGCTTGGTGAAGGGCGGCTTGGGCGAGGACATTCGCCGCCTGCTCAGCAACGTCCACGATGAGATCTTGTCGAAATTCTACGGCTGTGGTTCACCGATCCCTCCCCTGCTCAAGGTACAGTGGTGTGAAAATGATCTTAGCCGTTCATCGGCCCCGATCTCCTCTCCTCACATCCCGTTCCCGCACCTTGCTCCGTTATAAGACGTTCGAGCTGGTTGTTTGATCTCCCACCGTTACACATTTGATGTGGTTGTTTTATCTTAGCTTCTCGTCGAATCCATACTTGCTTCTGGTGCCAGCATGCTCTTGAACCTCTCTGGCTCTCTTTTTTCTCTGTTGGATTCCAACACGCAGGAACTCTTCTCATCCCATAACTGGTTCCTCGCCTTTCTCTCTTAGTTTCTCCCACATCTCATCCCCTCCCCTCCTCCATCCCCCTGCTTCCCCCCGCCTTCCCCCCCCCCTCCTCCCACTCGCTTCCCCCCGCTCCCTCCTCACTCCCGTTCCCTTTCCCCCTCTACGCATTTCTTGCCTCATCTCCCTCTCGTCGTCTTCTCGTAGCAATGTACGGTGCTGATCTGCGTGCGAGTCAACTCAAACGGACCCCTCTCCCTTCTCCCCTCCCTCCTCGCCGCAAGGCTGCACTGTGCTGGAACTAGGATGACAGTCAACAAGAGGGCATCCCTCCCCACTCCCCTCCCTCCTCACCGCAATGCTGCACGGTGTTGGATTTGAGTACACTCTCATCTCCCCTCTCCTCCCACTCCTCTCCCCTCTCCCCCAACCTTCCCATCTTCTCCCTCCTCCCCGCAGGGCTGCACGGTGCTGGATCTGGGGTGCGGAACAGGGAGGGATGTCTACGTGGCAGCTCAGCTTGTGGGGCCCACAGGCCAGGTCATCGGTGTCGACATGACAGGTCAGCAAGGATATTAGTGGGGGGATAAGCCGCGAAAGGAAGCGGGAACGAAGGCGTGAGGATGTTAGTGCCGCAGCCAGCCATTCCTGACAGCCTCTTCTCTTCACCTCCCGCCTCCTCCTCCTTCCCATTCACGATCCCTAATTTGCATCCATGTTCGTCACCCATGTCCATGCATGTTCGTCACCCATGTCCATGCATGTTCGTCACCCATGTCCATGCATGTTCGTCACCCATGTCCATCCATGTTCGTCACCCATGTCCATGTTCGTCACCCATGACCATGATTGTCGTTCATTTATGCCACCCATGTTTTTCAACAAACCCTGAGGGCATGCATTCTTGAATCCATGTTTTGTTCTCTCTTTTCTCCGCATCCCTAACCAACGCCTTCCTCTCCCTCCCCCCCTCCCCTTCTTCCTTTCCTCTTCATTTCCGTTCGTCTTCACCCATTCCTCCTCCTGCATCGTCCCTCTCATACACAGACGAGCAGCTGGCAGTGGCACGGAAGCACGAGGAGTACCACCGGGAGAAGTTCGGATTCGCCGAGTCCAACGTGTCGTTCAGGAAGGGGTTTATAGAGGATCTCAAGGCTGCTAATGTCGAGGACAGGTGGGTGGCTGTGTGTGTGGTTGTTGGGTGTGTGGGTGGTTAGGGGTTGGGGGAGGTTGAAAGGGGTTGAGGGGGGTTCAATGGTTTGGTTTTGAGTGGGTAACACAGTAGCTAGGCTGGAATTCGGGTGTTGTAGAGGAGATGGAATAAAGTTGGGCTTTACCCCGTTCCCCAACCTCTCTCCCCCCCTCCTCCCCCCCCCCCCCCCCCCCCCCCCCCCCTTCCTTGTCCCTCCCTTCTCCTCTCTCTCCTCTCAAATGCGTCCAACTGGGTTTTGGGTCAACTCAAAACTCACCCAAATGACTTTTGAGTCGACTCAAATGTCAACTCTAGCACGGTAGCAAGGTTGGGGTTTGGCTGTTGCAGAGGAGATGGAATAAAGTTAGGCTGTACCCCGTTCCCACACCTCCCGCCCTTCCCTCCCTCCCTTCCCCTCACTCTCCTTTCAAATGCGCCCAACTGCGGCATTCATCTCACGCCCAGAAAATTGCCTATAATCCCTACTTCATGCCATCTTTCTCCCTTATCTTGTCCCTCTCTTCGTCCATCCTTCTTCTCTCCTCTCCCCCGACCCCGAACAGCTCAGTGGATGTGGTTGTATCAAACTTCACCATCAACCTCACTCCCAGCACGGCCAACTCACGATCCCACCCACCTCACGTCCCCCCACACCCTTCCCCTTTCCCTCGCCAACTCACGACCCCACCCACCTCAAGTCCCTCCCCCCCACCCCCTTCCCCTTTCCCTCTCCCCCAAACAGCTCAGTGGATGTGGTTGTGTCAAACTGCACCATCAACCTCACGCCCGTCAAGTTGCCTGTCTTTTCCGAGATCGCCCGCGTGCTCAAACCGGGCGGCGAGCTCTACTTCTCGGACGTGTTTGCCGACCGGAGAATCCCCCAGCACCTGCGACAGGACAAGGTGAGGCCGAGGACTGGTTATCAGTTGTTGCAGAAGAGGACTGGATATAATTCATTGCTGGGTTTTTTTTTTTTTTTTTCCCATACCAATCACTGTGCCTCGTCCCCAACCAACATTCCTCTTTAACCAACGATCACCTAACCAGTGCACTTTACCTGGATCACTTTCGGGAATTCTTAACTTTCAGCATTCAGCATCTCATGGCTTCCCATCACCTCTATTTGCATCTCACCCTCTTCGCATCGGCATCAGGTTCTCTTTGGCGAGGGTTTCAGCGGTGCCCATTACTTGGAAGATTTCCGGCGCCTCATGGCCTCGGTGGGTTTGGGTGGGTGGGGAGTGGTGGAGGCTCGACAACTCCACGTGGATAACCCCAAGATTGCCGCCCAGATCGGCCCGATCAAATATTACAGCTTCACTGTTCGGGCGGTGAAGCTGCCCGAAGGGGAAGGCGTGGACCTGCCCGAGAATTACGGGCAGACGGCGACATATTCCGGGTCTATTCCCGAGAAAGCGGGGGAATTTGCCCTGGATGATGTGAGGGTGTTCAAGACAGGTGTGCCCACGCCTGTGGATGCTACAACTGCTGCCGTGCTGGAAAAGTCACGCTACAACAGTGTGTTTACTGTCACTGAGAAGGGTGCTCACCAGGGGGTCTTTACTGGTTGGCCAAGGTTTCCGGCTTCGGTTGCTGGTGCTTGGTGGTCTGCTACTGTTGAGAAGGTGAAATCTGGTTGCTGTTAGATTGATTGATATCGAGTGATCATTACTGTAGTGCTGTGCTCTATGTGTTTCTTGCTGAGATTGGAGTACTGAACAGAAACCTGCGTATTCGGTGGAACTGCAAATACCGTGTCACTCAAAAGGGGACAGGCAAGAACGAGAAATCTTGGGATGCGACTTGAGGTGGCCCAATCCTACCCTGAGCTCCTGGTAGAAGTTGCGGGCGAGGTTGCATTAGAGAGGAGAAAAAAATATTTCTGTATGGTATTTGAGGAGTTAATATTGCTGCAAATGCGGACTTATCCCGATAAAACACTTACGGTGCCACACTTTACTGCATGGCATGCCGGGTGACCAAACCGTCATAAGGAGTCTCGGCCCGAATCTCTTAAGAGTTTCTTCAAAATATTTCAGTTCCCTGATATTTTACTTGTAATTAGAGCTTCGTTTTGCGTATTCGTTATTCGGGAACTCTCCTAAACAGCTTATGAGAGTAGTAGCTTTGAATAAAAACAGTTACAAGTGCGTACATGTTCACTCATCCGGAATCTCCCGTGAAAGATTCCCCAACCTTGAATTCCTGGAAATTGCGTTTTGATATTTGCACTTCTAGAACCCTCCACACGAGCCCGAACTACTTCGGTCTGTATTCTCGAAATGTTGGGTGTATTCTCAGACTGCTTCGGATGCAAACCAGACACAAGGTGGGTGTATTGAATTTCAACTGCAAGTTCGTGTCCGAGGTTGACGCGGTGAAAGTGCTCGATCAGGGGGATATCGATTCGGTCACCACACTGAAACCCCGCGTTTTGCATACGAAAGGACAACTTTTATGACCGCGCGAAAAACGATCCTTAGGGGATCAATTCTCCGCTTTCACCGCGTATGCGTGTCATACACGAAGCGCGCGTGATTTTGCGTGTCAATCAGTGTAGCGTCGGTGTCAGCCCAATATTTCGCCAACCTAAACTCCATATCCGCAGGGGTGTTTGTGTGACCTGCTCGAAACCCACAGGGGCAATTGGTTTCTCCAGCGCAACATCTGTTCAGAGGTGAAGCTGGGTTTCCGTTGCGCTTCCATGCATGCTGTAGGTACGCCCTTGGGAACGTCTCTCGTCTTGACTTAAACAGACCCAAGGAGCAGCACAATACAAGGCGATCCATTTTCTTGCTTGCTGCCTACAAGCCTCTACCGATGTTGATTCGTTCTCTTCAATCATCCTTCATCCGCCGTCCTTTAGCCACATCATTCGTGATGTCGTGCTGTAACAAGACAACCACCGCTTCCGTCGCCAAGCCGACGTCGTGCTGCGGGCCGAAAGCTTCCGCCGCTCCGTCGGAAGCCAAGGCGGCGACTTCATCGTGCTGCGGGCCTAAGACTGCTCCCGCTCCGACTGAGCCTACTAAGAGCAGCTGCTGCGGCCCTAAATCCGCCGCGTCTCCCGCCGCTGGAACCGGCGCTGGAAGCGACGTGACGCATGCTGACGTGAGCGAGTATTACGGGAAGACGGTGCAGCAGCAGACGGATCTGCAGACGTCAGCGTGCCTGGTGAAGGGCGGCTTGGGGGAGGACATTCGCCGCCTGCTCAGCAACGTCCACGACGAGATCTTGTCAAAATTCTACGGCTGTGGCTCACCGATCCCTCCCCTGCTCAAGGTACTGTGATGTCAAGTGATCTTAGCCGTTCGTTAGGCCCGAACATTCTTCCCATCTCATCTCTTCCCTAACGGCAGTTTTTCTTCGTCAGAAAACATTTGAGCTGGTTTTTTTTATCGCTCCGTTACTACACATTCTAAATTTCACTTTTCGCCTCGGCGCCAGCCAGCATGGTCATTATTCTCCCTGGTGGCTCCTCTGGCTCCCTTTGTTCTCCCCCCCCTTCGCACCCCCGTTTTCCTCGTTTGTATTCCACCGTAGCTCATGTTCGCCTGTCCTCCCCTTTTCTCTCGCTCCCTCCCACCTCCTGCATCCCCTGGCTCCCCTCGTTCTCCACTTCCTTTCCTCTCCTCTTCTCGCTCCCACCGTCTTCATGTTTCGATTCACTGTGCTTAAGAGGTCCCTCCTCTTCCCTCCCCTCCCTCCTATCCTCTTCCCTCCCCTCCCCTCCCCTCCCCTCCCCTCCCCTCCCTCCTATCCTCTTCCCTCCCCTCCCCTCCCCTCCCCTCCCCTCCCTCCTATCCTCTTCCCTCCCCTCCCCTCCCCTCCCCTCTCCTCCCTTCCCCTCTCCTCCCCTCTCATCCGCTCCTGCAGGGCTGCACGGTGTTGGATCTGGGGTGCGGAACAGGGAGGGATGTCTACGTGGCAGCTCAGCTGGTGGGGCCCACAGGCCAGGTCATCGGGATCGACATGACAGGTCAGCAAGTGTGACGAGGGAGGGAGATGCTGGGACGAGGGAGGGAGAGGGTAGGTGGACGAGGGAGGGAGAGGGTAGGTGGACGAGGGAGGGAGAGGGTAGGTGGACGAGGGAGGGAGAGGGTAGGTGGACGAGGGAGGGAGAGGGTAGGTGGACGAGGGAGGGAGAGGGTAGGTGGACGAGGGAGGGAGAGGGTAGGTGGACGAGGGAGGGAGAGGGTAGGTGGAGGGAGCGACACTGAGCGCGAGCTAATGATTGAAAACATAAGTGCTGGGTGGGTACGTGCCTAGGAAACGTTCCCAACAACCCCTTCACCTACCACTCCTCCTCCTCCTCCTCCTCCTCCTCCTCCTCCTCCTCCTCCTCCTCCTCCTCCTCCTCCTCCTCCTCCTCCTCCTCCTCCTCCTCCGCCCTTCAATCTCGACCCCACAGCCCCATAGTCATTACGAGCAGGCATTGCCAGTATGCACATTTTTCTCAATTATATTGCTCTTCCTCTGCTCCCCCTCTCCCTTCCCTCTCCTCCCCTCCTCTCCCTTTCCTCGCCCCTTTCGACCCATCCCTTCTCCCTCCCCCTTCCCTTCTCCCCATCCCTTCGCCCGCTTTTTCTTTCAACTGCAGACGAGCAGCTGGCAGTGGCGCGCAAGCATGAGGAGTACCACCGGGAGAAGTTTGGTTTTGAGAAGTCCAATGTGTCGTTCAGAAAGGGGTTTATCGAGGATCTTAAGGCTGCTAATGTCGAGGACAGGTGGGTGGGTGAATGGGTGGTTGGTGGGTGGGTGGTGTGTGTGGTTGGTTGTGTGAATGAGTGGGTGAGTGGGTGGGTGGCTGGGTGCTTGGGTGGATGGTTGGTCCAACTCAGGAAGGGGTATATAGAGGATCTCAGGGCTGCTAATGTTGAGGACAGGTGTGTGTGTGTGTGTGTGTGTGTGTGTGTGTGTGTGTGTGTGTGTGTGTGTGTGTGTGTGTGTGTGTGTGTGTCTGGGTGGGTGGATGGGGTTGGGAACATGTGTGAGTACTTCTCGCAAGATGCCTGTCATCAGTGCACCTCGCCGTCCATCCCCTCACCCGCACCACGTTTTTCTTTCTTCAACCTTGCCCCCCCCTTTTCCCCTTCTCCCCCTGCACCCGTCCTTGTCTCCCTTCTCATACACAGCAAGGTGGGCGTGGTGGTATCCAATCAACTGTGACATTAACCTCGTTGACTTTTGAATTGGCTTAAAAAGTCAATTCTCTTTGTTCCCCCTCTCCTCTCCCCTATCAGCTCGGTGGACGTGGTGGTGTCCAACTGCGTCATCAACCTCGCCCCCAGCAAGGTGCCAGTGATTGCCGAGATCGCCCGCGTGCTCAAGACGGGCGGCGAGCTCTACTTCTCAGACGTGTTCGCCGACCGCAGAATCCCCAAGCACCTGCAACAGGACAAGGTGAGAATTAGGAGTAGGGGAGGCACGAATGCAGGGGGGCAGGGGAGCAGCGGGGCAGCGGGGCAGTGAGGCAGGGGGGCAGGGGGGCAGGCTTAGCAGGCGAGTGCCTCAATGACGATTTCTACTTCTCAAACGTGTTTGCCCACCGTAGAATCCCAAAGCACCTGCAACAGGACAAGGTGAGGGGGGGAGGGGGAAGAAGAGGGGAAAAGAGAGAGAGGGGGGAGGGTTGGGGTCAACCCATCTCCTATTTAAAAAAATTCCGACCAAAGTATCCCAAAGCACCTGCGACAGGACAAGGTGAGCAAGTGGGGGCTGGCTCAACCCATCACTGCTTTCCTCATTGCTTACTTCGGTCCTCTCTTGGGGGGGTTGGGGGAGGTGGGGAAGTGAGAGAAGAGCGGGAATGAGACATCCCTTTCAATTTCCCTCTCAAAAGGCACTCTTTTGTCACGCTCACCTACCTGAGTTGTCACCTTGCTTTTGCGGGATCACCTTGGCGAGTGTCTCAGCTGCATTCTCTTCTTGGTATGATGTCACGCCTCATGGCATCTCACATCCTTTCCATCACCCAATTTCCATCACCTCCCTTCCATCACCCAAATTCCATCACGTTTCTGTCATCTCATCTCCTTCCCATCACCTCACTTCCATCTCCTTTTTTTCCCAACAGAGATCAGGTTCTCTTTGGTGAGTGTCTCAGTGGAGCGCTTTACCTGGAGGATTTCCGCCGCCTCATGGCCTCTGTGGGTCTGGGTGTCTGGACTGGGGGGTCGTTAAGCCCTACTCATGCTTTCCCAATCACTCCCTGTGATGTGTTTGTTCTGGCAGGTTCTTTTCGGTGAGTGTCTCAGTGGAGCGCTTTACCTGGAGGATTTCCGCCGCCTCATGGCTTCTGTGGGTCTGGGCGGGTGGGGAGTGGTGGAGGCTCGAGAGCTCGACGTGGAAAATCTAGAGATAGCCGCCCGTGTCGGGCCGATAAAATTCTACAGCTTGACTGTTCGGGCAGTGAAGCTGCCCTCAGGGGCGAGTGACGGGGAAGGCGAGGACCTGCCCGAGAATTACGGGCAGACGGCTACATATTCCGGTTCTATTCCAGGACAAGCAGGGGAATTCACCCTGGACGATGTGAGAATTTTCAAGGCGGGTGTGCCCACGCCTGTGGATGCTACAACTGCTGCCATGCTGACTGTGTCGCGCTACAGCAGTGCATTCACTGTGACTGAGAAGGGGGCTCACCAGGGTCCCTTCACTGGGTTGGCACGGTTTCCAGCGTCAGTGGCTGGTGCCTGGTGGTCTGCTACCGTAGAGAAGGCGAAATCTGGGTGTTGTTGAACTGAATACCGTGAGAGTCATCAATCAGTGCGTTGAACAATGCTCGAAGATGAACGTATGAGCGTGCGTTAATATATGCTGTGATTAATGTGTCGTTGTAACAGGCCTTTGAAGAGTGGAGGTGGTAGCCCTTATCACTCCTTTTTACATGCCAGAGGGAAACTAACGCCATTGGGTGTTAGCATATTGTACACATTGATTAACGAGATATGCTCTTCCAAGTAATTTCTTGCTATGGTATCATATATATTATGGACTACCCTTTCAGTGAACCACAATTGTTGTAACATTTTATCGAGGATCGTTGATCCAACATGCATGCAGACGCTAAGACACGTCTGCACAAAGGTGCGGGATCTTTCCCCGCAAAATCTGTCTGGTTGGTCCAAACCTTGCTGACGCGTAGTGACGACAAAAGGTCCCTTCCGTGCGTGGATGGATGGGCTTGCTGGTGCGGCTACAGAACTGCAGCTATGCTTTTTGGTTGTGTACACGTGCCCAGTCAGCATCTTGGGGCAAGATGCTTTCTGATTCGGTAACCTACTTTTCGCCCTAGTTTCTATCCACCAATCCGTGCTGGTATCGGCTAGCGACAGCTCGCGTCTTGATCACGGAGCTCATCTATTTGTTCTGCGAACAAATAGCAACATGACCAAAGCACCCTCACAGCCAATTGCGAAGCGGAATCTGGCATCGTCAGCAGTTCGCCCATGCCCGGTCCCAGCCGTGCAATACGAAGCTACCCCGCCCATTTCCCCACCTTCCACAGCAAGCAAGCCCAACATGCCGGTTACCATCGAAATTCGCCGCATCGCTTTCCATCTCAACGGTAGTATCCAGTCCAGGCTGCCCTATCTTCCCCGTCGTAACACCAATTCCCAACTAGCCAAGCATCCAGGCTGGATGATCCACCCCCCCGTCATCTGAATCCACATCCCTCTCCAGGAGGCCTCAAACCAATAATAGTACGAAGCGTTTTGCTTTTGTACCGAACGCAAATCCTGGAAAACGTCTCCAACCCACCCCGATGTCTCTGTTTTGTACTACGGAGCTATTTCGGTGACACACCAGCCTTGTCATATCCGTCCGTGGATCGGTCCGTAACACAATGTCGTTACTCTGCGTATTGGGTGATTCTAGAACTCTAGAACGCTTTCCTCGCCTCGTTGGAGATCCATTGCGGGCTCGCTGCTCACAAGTGGTGACTTCCAAGTTGTCGCGGTTTCGCTCTGTTGGCAAAAAATGGGCTCGCAACGTCGCGACGACGCGACCCACGCTCACACGACAGCAGGGCGGGCGCTGCTATCCAAGCGACGAGCAGCAGTCCTGCCGCTCCACGCGCACCGCGTTGCGTTGCCTTGCGCCAACCTCGGTGCTCGCGTGGCCAACAGCACTACAAAGTCTACGCTGTACAGTACAACAGACTGCCACAGTACAGCAGTAGCAGAAGCATATTCGAGATACCTCAGTAAGAGCGGGGCCCTTACGTCATTCGCGAAGTGGCTTATCTGAGTTCGACGGGTCCCCCTGTCCCAACCCAAGCCAGCTTAGGATTTAGGTTCGTATAAAGCCGACGCGTCGGAGCAAGGCAAAGCAGAAACTCTGAAAGACAGTAAAGCTCCCACCGTGCCTGGCTCCTAATACCCCACCTTCGCCGTTTCTCACTACCGGCTAGCTGAATCTGCTACGAGCGCTTCACCCTGTAATAAGCGAAGGGTATCCATCTGGCTTGCTGCGATCGAATTCGCCGCTTCAACTGAAGCACTGTTTGGTTCACTACGAGAACTAGCGAACGCGCTGTGAAGCCGACAGTCACTGATTTTCAGTAAATATGCTTCCAGTCAGTTCAGACGAAACGCCTCCAAGTATCATTAGTAACGGCGACCCTAAATCCCGCGGCAGGATGATCGTGCGCGGGAATTTCCGGCGGGGCGGAGGATATCGCGCGGATGCGGAATGCAGTGAGCGCGCACGTCAAGCCGCAAGTACAAGTGCTAAATAGTGCCACTATTCGTAATGACTGGCACGACCTGATCGTTATGAGCCAGCACGATGGTCCCTGCGCGGCCGCCAATGCCGCAGCCACTCGGTTGCTCCACCACCATGACCAGCCCAACGAAAAACCCGGTTACCATCACGACGAAAAACATTTTGTGATGGTAACATCTCGCCGCGTACATCGTCATCACCATCAGCACCGGAATCGGCAGCAGCAGCGTGAGAGTCAGTACCAGCAGCACGGCGGAAGTCCCACGACGACCTTTGACTTCCCCGCATCCCCGCCCTCACTCTCCGCATCTCCGCCCGCTCATTTCGAATCTTCGCCCGCTCTCTCCGCATCCCCGTCCACTCCCCTCTCCCTCTCCCACTCTCCGCGTTCCCGCCGCGCTGCGCGCCGCCTCTCACCCGCACCCGCGCCCGCCGCAGCCACCTCCGCCTCCGCCGCCAGCAGCGCTGGTGCGCGGAGATCAGCCGCCGCCGCAGATGAGACCCTCTCGGCGTCATTATCCTCATTTTCACCATCATCGTCATCCGCACCCCCGTGCTTACCAATGTGCGGCGCGGCGGTTGATAGTAACGTGCAGCCGCGCGCCGTGGGCCTGCGAGAGCTCGAATCGCAGCAGCTGCCGCACCACATGCGACGCGAGAGTCCGAATTTCTCTGAGACGCGTCAGCATGACGAGGTGTCATTTGAGAGAGCAGCGGCAGTGCGCTGGGGGGCGTGGGGCGTGGGGCGGCAGCAGCGGCGGTCACTGCTGTGGCAGTGGTTCCGCGATGCTCCTGATGGACTCGTCTCGTCCTCCGTTGACCTACTCACTCGGGTCAACGCAGTCAACGATCTCAATGCAGCGAACCGAGTCGCTCCAGTCAACGACTCGTTGGCAGCCGTGCAATGCGGCTCGATAGCTGCAGGATCGGGTTCGAACTCGGCCTGTTGCCTTGCAACCAGGGCCGAGCAACGGACGGCCACTCAAACAGAGATGCAGGTGGGGAAGGTGCAAGCGGGGGAGGGGGAGATGGGGAACGTGCAAGTGGGGGAGGTGTTGGGGCGGCCAGTGGAGGACATTCGGCGGGAGTGGCTTCTGCTGAGGAAAGAGATAGGCAGGGGGCAGTACGGCGTGATTCGGAGATGCGTGCACCGCAGCACCGGGGAACACGCTGCGTGCAAGAGCATCCGAAAGTCCGCCATTCAGGTGATGGCGCTGAACTTCCCTGCCCTGACTTACTTTGCTCTGCCCTCCTTGCTCTGCCCTCCTTGCTCTGCCCTCCTTGCTCTGCCCTCCTTGACCCGAACCCATCCTAGCATCTCTTGCTGCCAGGACAGCCCGTGTCTCCCACGTCGTGTATGTCCTCGTATTAGCCTCGCCCCTGACTTTTGTCGTTCCCATTGTGCAGAGTGCTGCTGATGTGGAGGCAGTGCGGAATGAGGTGGCATTCATGGAGGAACTCGAGGGCCATCCCAATATCATTCAGATCAAGCAGGCTGCCGAGACGAACAAGGTAAAATTTCCGATAGAATTTCCTGCTATTTCATTAATGTTGATAATCTTGCTTCTTCTGCATGCAGTCACGAATGTGCTTCATGTCACTTCTTGGTTTAAGAAATCCAGGCCAATCAACACTTCGTTGTTTTTTTCTATCATGGGTGTGTGTGTGTGTATGTGTGTGTGTGTGTGTGTGTGTGTGTGTGTGTGTGTGTGTGTGTGTGTGTGTATCTTTTGCTTTTTTTACCCATTCTGATTCCCATCCACTATTCCCTTCTCACGTAGAATACATGTTCATTCTGTGACACTCATCCCTGCCCTTTTGCCCGTCTCTTCTCTCCACCCCTCCAAACCTTCTTTTCCCCCCACCCCCATTTACTTTTCCCCCTTTCCCTTCCTTGCAGCACGTGCACGTGGTGATGGAACTCTGTGAGGGGGGAGACCTGTTTGACCACATTGACTCGCAAGGAAGGCTCTCGGAACCTTCTGCAGCGCGCATCTTCCGATCGCTCATGCTGGCCTTGCAGCACTGCCACTCGCACGCCATCGTGCACCGCGACATCAAACCCGAAAACGTTCTTGTATCGGACACCACGGCTTATATCGAGGATGTCCCAGGAGCTCTGTTCACCATGTGCCCGGAATCGCCTGAAAGCGTAAAATTGATTGATTTTGGAGTTGCTGCCAGAATGGTTCCCGGTGTTCCTCTTTCTGAGGAGGTGGGGACCGCGGAATACATGGCCCCCGAGGTGTTTTCAGGGGCGTACGGCCGGGAGTGCGATGTGTGGAGCGCCGGTGTCACGCTCTTCATTATGCTCTGCGGCCAGACTCCTTACCTACGTGATAGACCTGTCAACTCTAGCAGCAGCAGCAGCAGAAAGGGCAGCAGGGGCAGCAGCAGTGGGGAGGAGGGAGCGGAAGCTGAAGAGGGTGTGTGGCGGAGGGTGGTGGAGGCGAAGAGGAGGGGGTTCAGCCACAGCCGGAGGTGGCAGGAGCTGTCGTCACCAGCCAAGCATCTCATCATTCACATGCTCTCTGCTGAACCCACCACCCGAATCACCGTGGACGACATTCTTGGTCAGTTGTCGGCTCTATTCAATTTTCTGTCTTTTGATGTGAGTGACATATCTCTGCTGATCCCACCACCCGAATCATTGTGGACGAGATTCTCTGTGAGTTGTAACTTCAATTTTTGTTTCCTTATGAACTAATAATGTGAGCAATGTGACTTCTGTCGGGGGGGAGGGATGAGGAAGAGGCAAAGGATGTTCATATTTAGGGAACCTCATGTCAGGCTCACACTGAAACCCCCCCAAATCCAGAATCTTTCGCTAGTTTTACCAGGCAAGTCTGATTTGGCATAGGATATGAGGCATAGGAACACGCCCTATTTTTTTCGCATGGTCCATGTTATAGAATTTCGTGGTTTTTGTCTGATTTGGTAGTGAGACTGACAGTTGGGATGCGATGTGTGGCTGTTTTGCAGAGCATGAATGGGTTGTGGCCTCAGAGGGGAGAGGAAGGACATGGTTGGAACTGGCTCACTAACAATCAAATATTGAAGAACACTGAAAGGATGATGTAATTTATTAATATTCTAGCTTGTTAGTCTCATGTTTGCCGTTTTTAGCACTTCTGTATTGTAAAATTCCGGTACCTGATTTTGTGAAGTTTTCATGCCCCAGTGGTTATCTAGGCAAATGATGTCGTATCATCAACATTTCAAAGGAATGAATTCAGTCTCCGTGTTGCATCTGGAGTATCTCATTGAGCATATAGTAAACTTCTGCCACGTAAACTTCAGCCACGACACGCTGGCTGGCTTTCCGATTGGCTGACTTCACCAAGAAGACAGGCCATGCTGTGGAGCAATGTCCTGCGAAGTCCACGCTTTTCGGAAAGGCTAGAGATTTCTGTTTCTGACCAACTGGTGGCAGACACATCAGCACTCGAGCCGCGTGCGTTTCACGAACTGGTTCTGTTTTTGCCATTGGAAATTTCAGACGAAACTCCCGAACTGTGCGCTGTGTACGTCGCAAATCCGCAGTCTCATTGCTCCCATCCCATCCCCAAAGCTGGTGGTAGGTGCGTGTGGCGCGAAGTATTGGCCAAAACAACCCAACCCAAATTAAACTAGCTCAAACCGAGCCAACCCAGTAAACTCTCCGCCTCTCCCTTCCCCATTCTCCATCCTGCTGTGCTCAACTGCAGGTACTCACTTTCTCTGCTTTTAGGCGGGCAAGCAGCAGCATTGCTACTGCTGAGCAGACGAGCTGCACGCCTCAATAGGAATTACACACAAGAGAAGATAGTTTGTCATCGTTCATACTCTTTAGATCCGTCCAAAAAACAGTCACAGACTGACACAACAGTACGGTGCAGTGCGTCACCATGCACAGTGCACGTGGAACAGCTAGGCACGTGTTTGCCCGTGGCTTACTCCGCAGATACCGCTTCGGGCGCTTCTTGCAGAGCTGCTCTCCTCCTCCGAGCAGACCGAAAGAATCCTTTCCTCATCCGCGTTGGCTCTCAAGAAGCGTAGTCAGCATTTCTCCCACGCGCCACTCCGAGTACAAGCACTTTCGCCGAAAGCAGTGTGTACAGCCGTTTAGGTCTTCACATTTCAGAGCCCTTAGCTGCACGGGCTCTAAGTTCCGCGTTTAGTACGGAGCTTTGTCAGCTCTTAGCAGCCACGCGTGTTCTTCTACTCCCAATAGCGAGTACTCTCGTGACGCTTGCTGCGTAAGCTAATACGCTGTCCACCAAGCTTGCGCCCCTCATTGGCTTGGCTCCCATCGCATCCCATCATGGATGCCAAACTCATCGAGTCCCCCTCGAGGCGCCCCCTAGGGTTGGAACCGCCGGGGCCGGTAGCGGCGCTGAGTGTGTCAATGTGGCCCTTTGATGAGTCAGCGCCCTCGATCGACCCCCTTCCGCCGCATTCCCTCCTTCCACCCAACGCATCAGCTACTACCTCCGATCGGTACTGCTATGAAACGCTCGCCGCGAACGCAAATTTCAGAAGGCCTGTCAGAGTCGCAGCTCAAGTCATTTCCCGAATCCCGCTTTCCGACTGGAAAACATTCGAATGGTGGCCTCTTTGGAGTTCAGGAATCACCCATTCACCGTTTCACACGGCCGTGTTTCTCGCCGTTTCGACCACCAGTAGCGACCGCACGAAGCTTCCACGAACGATCTGGTCTAGCGTTTGGAATCATGTCGTCCGCGCCGTCATCTATTGGCTTCGGCGCCGCGACGCGGCGAGCTCGCGGCGCAAACCCTAGTCCTGGCGGCGGCGGCGTGCCATTGCCGCTGAGTTCGAGAAGGTTCTTGGAGATTCACCTCAGCGCGTCCGACTGTGTCGGCGCTTACTGCGGCGGCGTCACCACATCACATCTAGCAGGTATCACATCCGCCATGGATGTCACCTTTGCATTCGCCTCAACGGATGTCGCCTCGAGCCGCAGCCCCGCGACCGCTCTCGATCGAGAAGTCGACTTCCCCGCCTCCCCTTCCGCGTTCTCTTCCGTTTTCCTTCCGCGTACGGCACTTCCGCCTTTCCCTTTCGCCTCACCTTCCGCGCTCTCTTCCCCGTCCCCATTCGCCTTTCCTTTCGCCGAGTCCATTCTTTGGTCGTCCGATGCAGGTCGATTCACCACAATCGACGGAGAACCCACATTTCCCCCCGGGGCCTTCATTGACGGAGGGGCTGGTAACGGTACCGCGGATGACGTGGCGATTGAGGATTGGTTCTGCGAAGTAGCGGCGTTAGGAGTTGGAAAGGCACCAAGGTTGGTGGGGCAGAAGCAGCGGCAGCGGCTGATGCGGGAGTGGTTTGATGATGCTCCTCATAAGCTCGTTTCGCCCGCATTCCCTCAAGTCAACCGAACGAGCCTCGTTGGCTGAGCCAAGTCAACCGAGTCAACTGAGTCAACGCCTTCAATGCATTCAATGCAGTCAATGGAGTCCATGCGGTCAATGCAGCAAATGCAGTCAATGTGGTCAACTCACTTCATATGGCAACAACCCCTCTGCCATGCGATCTGCCAGTCCATGTGATCTGCCAGTGACTATACTGAATGAGGCCTGCGCCTGATGACGCCAGATGCACAGGGTAAGTTACCCTTTTGTGTTACCCTCTACCCCGTTGAACTTGTACGAGTAATATTGTCTGGTGCTCAAACATGTGTTGCCGCGTCTGAATCATTCCAATCCTTCCAACTCGACCCTCCAAGTCAGGACCTTCTGTTGCCATTGCTGAAAAATCCCCATTACACTTACCCATTACCCTCACCCATTACCCTTACCTGTGTTGCCGCCTCTGACTCTTTCCAGTCCTTCCAATTTGACCCTCCAATACCCTCGCCCTTCTGTTGCCATTGCTGACCATTCCCCACTACAATCACCCACTACCCTCGCCCTTTGTTCTTGTCCTGTAAACGTTTCTCGCACACTCCTAGCTGTGCGAAAAAAAGCTGGCATAGCTCGCACACTCCTACCACGCTCACCCTTGCTTTCCTTTCTTTTCCCTTGTCTCTTTCCACCCCCCCCGTCTCTTATTGCCACTCCCTTCCCACCCCCCAGCACGTGCGCATGCTCATGGAGCTCTGTGAAGGGGGAGACCTGTTTATATGACACTGCTTATAACGAGGACGTCCCAGGAGCCATGTTCTGCATGTGTCCAGAATCGTCCGAATCTCCTGAAAGCGTCAAACTGATCGAATTGGGAGTCGCTGCAAGAATGGTTCCGGGTGTGCCTCCTTCTGAGGTGGTGGGGACGGCAGGGTATACGGGTCCTGAGGGTTTTTAGGGGCATACGGTCGTGAGTGTAAGAAGTGTAGCACCGGTGTTACGCTCTTCGCAATACTCTGCAGCCAGGCTCCATTCATAGCACAGTAAAGCATTGGCGAGTCAACCCTCAGAGGTTGAACAACTGCTGGAGGTTACGCGAAAGTCAAAGGTCAGCGACCTTTGACCTGACAAGTACAGCGCTACAGCAAGGACAAACAACTGACTCGTTATTGAACAGTTGCCCGAGTGAAGAATGAAACGAGAGAATGAATGAACTATGAAAGAGTTTGGTACAAGTATTAACCCTAATTGGGTTGTATCCCTAATGGGCTACCCCATTACAGCTTACACAAATGTATAAACTATAATGTTCTGACACACCCCCAAAGGGAAAGTGGGGGACAGGCCCCTATATTCGTTTTGAGGCACGCTGACGGCACAGCGTGCATCCCTCCTAGTACTCTGTCTGTCAGTGTTGCTTCAAAATTTTAGGCTGGAGATTCAGAGGCACACAACTTTCCAAAGCTGAACAAATAGCGTTATCTTGAAATTTCTGACTGATCATGCAGGAATGTAAAACTCTCTATTATAAACATTCCCTCACATTCACATATCTGAATCAGAGTCTGACTGATAACGTTCTACAGGGGCACGATCAGCTACTGGCTCCTCCTCTACATGCTCCTTGCCAGCTCTTGGAGGGTCCCTATGTCTTGCAGCAGGTGCTGTGACTGGACGGCGCTTCTTGTAGCTGCGCCACACTTTAACTACTCCTGGCAAATCTAGCTCATAGTCTAGTAATGACATGCACAACAAATCACTTAGCCTGCAGTCCTTGATACTGCCTCTTTGCCACGTTTTGATGAGGTTCTGTCGAGAGAAGCCTCTCTCACACTCAACAGTGCTGAGAGGCAACACTGCTACCGCCACCCAGAGGTTGACAAGGTTGGGGTATGCCTGCTGCCAATCGGGAGTCTTGAGGATGGCTGCCAGTCCCGAATGGAACTTCCTCTCGATCTTTGGAGCTCTGGCCAAGACCGGGCAAAGAGTCCTCAACTCTTTGACCGCCCGCTTTCTGTCAATGCCTATGATATAAGAACAATGGGGAGGGTATTAGTTTAATACGAGAGGGCAAGTGTCAAACGTGTTCACCGAATGACCAAGTAGATACTAACCTGGCAGAATCTCGGGCGAGTCGTCGGCGTGAAACAGAGTGGCGAGCGACAGCAGCCACTCCTGACACTGAGCCTGCCTAGCCTGCCGATCCCAGTTTGGTGGCCACATATCCGGATGAAGAGGCGCACTCCAGCCAGCGAGTCGAGGTCACCAAGCTTTGACTGGAGATTGTTGACAAGCAGCTCGGCCATGTCGGTGCAGAGTGCAACACAGGCGTCATGATGGCCGGGTCCAGGGTAGTCCTTGTTTTTGCGCTCGTGAAGGTCGAAACGGAAGCGGTTCATGCTGCCGTCCGACGAGGCACCTTCCACCACCATCTGCGGCAACCCTTGTGGCCCGTACTTGGCGATGAACCGATACAGATGCTCGCTGGTGCCGCCGTCGAAATCATCGCCACAGTCGATGTAACGGCTCTCCAGGAGAGAGGTTGTGCGCACGATCTGCGTGTGCACAAGTGGGTAGTCGAGCTGCCACACACGAATCACACTGGTTGTTAGTACCAGTACTTAAGGAAAACAATAATCAGGAAAACAAATGAACCGTCACTTACCTCTCGATGCTGGAAAACCTTGGAGAGGACGTCCAGCAGATCCAGCACGTCCGCTAGAAACCTCACAAGGAACTGGAAACGATACGAAGTTACCAACTCGTACATCGTTTGGTCCTTCCACTCGGACAGCATCACAATAATGGCGGTCATGACTTTGACGAAGCGCGACACTGCAGCACCCCGCGACAGCCATCGAACCTCGTGTATGCCTTGCACCTCGAGGTTCGTGGATGTGAAGACCTCTTGGAGCTCCATGAAGCGTTGGTGCCAAGGACTCGAACGCCCAAGGTACTCCACGACGGCGCGGATGACGTCGTCGACCATGTTGAAGGTGGGGATCTCCTCTGCTGCAGCTTTTGCAGCCAATGCTTCTCTGCAAGCAACACAACACACACAAGATTATATAGGTAAATAATAACACTACCTTAAACATGTTAAAATTGCAGAGCCAGGCATACCGGTGTGCGATGTAGTGGAACGAGACGAGGTTGGGGATGAGCATTCGGATGCGTGCAACCACTCCTGTATGCTGCCCCACCATGACCATCGCCCCGTCTGTGCTCATGCCCGATATTCGGCGGAGGTCCACGCCGACAACCCTGAGGTGGGAAAGGAGGAGGCCTGAAATGGATGCGGCGTCTGCCTTCTCAACTATGAGATGTGCGAGAAACTCGGAGACGACAGCGCCATCGCAGATGAAGGTGGCAAACACAATCATGTGTTTGCCACGTCGCCGATCGGTGCTCTCATCTAGCGTGATCCCGATGAAGGGACTCGTTAGAAGATGCTCCAGTTGTGTTGTGTGGAGCCAAGTCGCGATTGCTTGAGTCAGCTTACCAAAGCCGTACCTGTAATAGAAAAAACACCACGGGAGTGAGCGACAAACAAAATGCAAATGTGAGGGCAATGTTCTGAAAAATGACGAAACACATGAAAGACGTACGTGTTGTAGTACGTGCCGTAACCGTTCTCCGGAAACCCGGGCACCTTTTCTTCGCGAGGTAGCGCACGAGCCGGATCCATGACTCCATGGGCTCGTTGCACTTGCTCATGAAGTACAACGACTCCGCTAGTGCCAACATCTGCACCATCTCCTTGTCCTGCGCCTTGGGGTGTAGATTGATGCGGCGTTGTCCCTCCACTTTCTGCAGCAGGTCGTCCTGCCTTTGCAATGCTAAGCGATGCTTCGAGGTACCCTCATGCTTCTCGAAGGCCTGCGTCTGCACATCGGTAGCGCCTTCTCCACGCCGTCCACATTTGCCTGCCAATCCCACGAATTCCATGCAGATGCTGCACTTAAAAGAGGGGGCACCAGCAGCAGTCATAGTTAGTATCAGCCATGGATAATCTGTACACCACCTCGACTTGAAACGGTCGTGCGCTTCTTCGTAATTCAGCACTACTTTTTCGGGACGGGGTTTGGAGCTGTCCTGATTGGGTGATTCCTCTGCCACAGGGGCATGAACACTCGAAGCAGGTGGTGGAGTTCCCCACGCAATGTTTGCCTACCGTAAACGCAACTTCGGTAGTGGCGCTTGACGGGATGGAGTTTCGTCGGACACCTCATGTAGCTCCGTCCGAGGGGTGTTTGTCACATGTTCTGTGGCGGCTTCGGGTAGAGAATCCAGGTGCACAGATTCTGGAGCGTGACTCGTGCTGGGCAGAGACGGTGCCGCTGGCGATGCACAAGGCGTAACTAAGGACGACTTCAGAAAGTCGAGGCCCGTCGCCATGTCGCCAAGACGACGACGACCTACATCGTCGTCGTCGTCCAGCTCGTCCGCACCAGTGTCCGTGGCAGCCATTGAGTCTGCCGAGCTGTGTTTTGCTAGGTTGGGAGAAACTGCCTGACACGAGGGATCAGGCAGTAGTAACAGGGGATGGCAAAGATCTGAGGGAGAGCCAGGCGACAGAGGGAATTGTTGGAACGGTCATGCTGGGTGAGTTGAGGAGGTCCCCTTTTAGGACCTCCTCAAGATGAAACCCTCACTGCTCCCTACATGTACGTCACATGGTCGTGTATGCAGCACAGGTGGGGTGGGGTGAATGGTTCTGGTGTCGTGTGTGGCGCAGCGCGCTGCGAGCTATGCGTTGGCAAGGAATGTTGCCAACGCTGGTTGCTGCACAGTCCCGATAGGTTGGAAATGTCGCAGATGGCATATTTGCTGTACCAACGCGCAACACCCTCTTCGCTGCAGCCATGTGCTCTGATCGGTATCTCCCACGAGCAACATAGCGTGCCAAGATGCTAAGAGGGTATGCAAGGTCAGGTCGTGTGCAGGTCATCAGGTACACAAGGCAGCCAACAAGCTCTGGGTACGGGCCACTCAACTCTACCGACTCATCCGAAGGCAGAGCTGAGAGCGAGTGGCGAGTAGACAAAGGAGTGGCCTGAGGCGAGGAGTACGTGAAGCCGAAGCGCTGAAGGACCTGCTGCACCATGTGTGACTGAGTCAGGGTAATGGTGCGCTGTCCTCTGTCCCGGGTGATCTGCAAGCCAAGGTAGCTGCGCAATTCACCCAGGTCTGTGCACGTGTGTCTCTTCTGCAGCTCCGACTTCACGTGGGCGAGTCCAGCAATGTCAGCAGTGGCAAAGACCAGGTCGTCGATGTACACGAGGATGTAGAATGGCGGCAGAGAGGTGTCGGTACGCAGAAACAGTGACGGGTCGGCTGTAGAAGGAGAAAACCCAAGAGCCGCAAGTGTAGTTCTCAGTGTGTTGTGCCACTCACGAGGCGCCTGGCGGAGACCGTAGAATGGCCGTCGGAGGCTCCACTGGGTACCAGGAGGAAACGACCCAGTGAAGCCAGGAGGGCGGCGCAGCCAGATCTCTTCGTGCAGGCTGCCCTGCAGGAAAGCTGTGCTGAAGTCAAGAGAGTGAAGCTCGTAGTCGCGTTGAGAGGCTATGTGCAGCAGCACCCGAAGAGTGGTCATCTTCGGGGTGGGAGAGAAGGTATGAAAGTAGTCAACTCCCTGCCGCTGACTGAAGCCTCTAGCCACGTAATGCGCCTTGAAGACAGGCACAGAACCTGGCGGCCGCTTCACCCTGAAAATCCACATGCCACTGACGATGTTCGCCCCAGGTGGGGGAACCTCGTCGACGTAGGTGCCTGTGGAC